TGTACTCCCTACTGCAGCGGCCGAAAGTAGGCCATCGAGTCGTTGCAGATGACGAGGCCGACGGGGTAGAGGAACCAGAAGAGGCCTGTGGGCGGGGCGCGGGGCGGCGGGGCGGGCCGCGTGTCGCTAGAGCGGGCGCGGGCACGGGGCGGATGTGCGGGTCGCGGGGTCTGCTGCCGTTGAAGATGTTTTGCGTAAACGAGTTGACTTGCACGACGGTGACGACGATGACAGCCATCGTCCAAGCGAGCTGGCCGACCTGGTACTTGTAGTAGCCGGCCTGCCCGCAGAGGGGGGGGGGGGGGGATGGCGGCGGCAGGGTGGCACCGGCAGTGGAGGGCTGGAGGGAGAAAGGAAAGGGGCGGGAGGGGAGGGGCGGGAGGGGCGGGAGGGGAGGGGCGGGAGATCGCCTTGAGGGTGAGGACAAAGAGCATCAGCATGAAGGAGTAGGCCGCCATGGAGAGGAGCTGCACGTAGGGCAGCATCCCCACCAGCGTCGGGCTGCGGGAGGTGCGAGGTGCGAGGTGGGAGGGGCGAGGCGAGAGGGCAAAGCGGGGCAGCAGTGGCGGAGTGACGGAGTGGCGGGCGGTCGCCTGCGGATGAGGGAGAGCAGCTTCTCCTGCGAGAAGGAGTTGCCGTACGAGTAGACCATGCAGCACCAGAACCAGCCCCACTGCGTCGTCCGGAACCACGGGATGGTCTTTACCAGCCGCGTCTTGTACCGCACGTTGACCAGCTCACGGAACATCAGCACCTGCGGAGGGGCGGGCGCGCGGCGGTGCCGGCGGCGGCGCGGCGGCGAAGGAGGCGGCGGCGCTGCGATGGCGCTGCGTTGGAACCGTGGACGCGGCGGGCGGCGCTGCGGACGGCTGTGTGAGCGAACGGCGGCGCCTGCGCGATGAGCAGCATCGCGAGCGTGGTCAGGTGGCCGAGCGACAAGACGAAGATGAGGAAGAGGAGGAGCGAGGTGCCGAAGAAGAGCCGTTTCACCAGCTTGGTCAGCTTGTTCTCGCCGCTCGTGTGGCCGGCCGGCCCAAACGATCCAGCCTCTCTGGAGGGATCGCGCTCTGCCATGTCTGTCTCGGACGCGGAGCTGGCGCCGCAGTCGACGTCCGTGTCGGAGAGGGTGTCCGACGCGTCGCTGGGCAGCGGCTCGCTGGTCTCGGCAGGAGGCCGCCGGCGTCGCAGCTCCGCCATGCCTCGCGACCCGCGCTTCGTTCGATGATGCGCGGCGAGCACAAAAAGAAAAACCGCGAGCCCGCTTGCGTTTCCCACTCGCTCCACGTGCCCCCCAAGGTGCACTCACGGCTTCCCTGCGAACGCGCACCCCCCAGGACTAGGGCTCTCTAGCCCGCAACCCGATCCCAATCGTCCGCGGCCGTCGAGCGGCCGCCCCGGGGCGCCGTGCGGCCAATGGACTGCACTCCAAGACCAAGTGCTCCAAGTGCTCCAAATGCAGCCCAAACTCACACCGGACGAGAGCAACCATCGGACGTACTCACAGCTGCACCTGCTGCTCACACACTCAGCTCAGCGCGCCAGTCCATGACCATGAGCACGTAGCACGTGCCCCTCTCAGTACGATACGGCTCTTGTGCGCCCACTCACTCACTCCGGCGCCGCTCTAAGGACAAGTGTGACAGGTGATGTCAGATCGGCGCGTAAGGAGACCACGGAGCGCTGCGCAAGCGAGCGTGACTATGGTACAACTATGATACACACCGGGGGCAGTGAGTCCCGAGGCTCCCGTGCCTCGACGTCCCGTGCACCGACAGCAAGCCGGCACAGGGGGCGCCCCCCGGCCCGCCCCGGCCCCCATGCCTCTGCCTAGTGTCCTAGCCCCTAACCCAAGGAACTGTGCCGGCGGCAGGCCGGCGTGCAGAGCAACTGCGCGCCGCCCGAGAATGGCGCAGGCCGCACTAACGAGCCCCGCATTCCTCTGCCACCGAACGCAGCCGAGCCGCCAATAGCTAGTCGCACCACTCGCCGGTGCTGGCACGCATGCGCGCCGTTGACCCGGATACCACATCCAGGGCAAACGGCCATGAACCGCGATCGACCCGTCCGCCGCATGCCCGCCGCCCAATCATCACCAATGAAATCACCCATCATCCCCTGGAGCGGCCCCCATCCGTGCCTGCGAGGGAGAGAGTCACCCGCCGAGACGGAGAGCTAGAGGCCGCCGCTGGGCGGCGGCGTGCGGTTCGTAGGGGAAGACCGCCCCGTCGCCCTCCCGCCCCCGAGCCCACTCCGCGGCGTCCCTAAAGGGTGCGGCCGCTGCCGGACGCCGAGCATCTCGAGCCGAGCCCTCCGCATCCGCTCGGCGGCATCCTCGCGCTCGGCGCCCCGCGAGGGGACCCCGCCTGGCGAGGGATGCGGAGTGGTCGCAACAAGCAGGGCAACCGCCGGCGGCGGCGACGGCGGTGGGGTCCCAGAGAAGGAGGAGGTGGCAGAGCTCGACGGCCGAGCAAGCGGCGCGAAGGTATAACCTTGGGTGGGGCGGGGGATGCGGATCAGAAGGAAGCGTCGCGGCACGGCGCGGCCGACTGCTGTGTTGTCTCCGTGCGAATGCCGGGATTCCTCGACGCCAGGGGGGTCGGGGGGGCTGGAGTGTGGCGTGGGTGAGGGGGTGTAGCGGGCATGAGGGAGGCGGCATATATTGTGTCACCGAAGCTCTTCAGCTCCGGGTGGTCGTGGCCGCCGTCGTCGGCCCCGTCGGCCGCAGAGAACATGGACATCTTCTCCTCCTCCGCCGCCGCGGGCGCCGGCCTTGGCGCGGACATGCGCCAGCGCGCAGAGTCGCGCCAGAGTCGCGCGAAGCGACGTGATCGAGCTCCTATGTACCGACCCTCCTATCAAAAAAGTTTGGATTTCAGCGCTTCAGACCGCGGAACGAATCTCAGGTCCTACCAGCCCGGCTCGGACGAAGAGATGGAGAGATCTTTGAATCGCAAAACAATCTTTTAGTCCAACTGGGTTTGGCTTTTGTTTTGCGCGGCATGCTTGAGCATGGTCCACGTACCTCGTACCAGCTACCACACGGGTCTCCACCGCACCCCGCCCGAACGACGCCCGATCCCCGTGTGCCGCGATGAGACGGAGGACGACGCTCGACGGACGAGGGGTCGGCGCTATCACGACAGGACCCGCTCGTCGTGCACGTGCTGGAGTGGGGCGGACTGCACTGTGTGCTCTGATGGCTCTGTGTGTGTCTCACTGTGTGCAGTGGGTGGGGCGTGGGGGCACCGTGCCGGCACACACCTCACAGCGGTGCTCTCCCAGTGGCGGACTGTAACATTGTAAACTGTACCCGCAGCCGCAGATACGGTTGCGGAAACGAACGCGACCGACTGGTAAGGAAACCGCGCTCTACTTCCACAGCTCCACAGCGCTCTCGGGTAATAACTCGAGTCCCCTCATGCGGTCACTTCTCCCACCAGAAGGGCGTGGAGTTCTCGGTGCGCGCAGTGAGCGCCTCGATGCCGTCGGGCGTGACGAGCAGCGTGTGCTCGAACTGCGCCGACCGCTTGCCGTCCTTGGTGGTCGCTGTCCAGCCGTCGCGCCACAGGATGTGCTTCTCGACGCCCTCGCAGATCATGGGCTCGATCGTGAAGGTGTGCCCCACCTGCATCGTCCCCGGCTCGTTGTTGCGCGCGTGGATCACGTTCGGCGTCTCGTGGAAAACGCTTCCCACGCCTGTTCACACACTCGCGCGCCCCGTGACGCGCCCCGTCCCGCGCTGCCGTCGGGCGAGGCCTCTCTCGCCGCGCCGTGGCCGCAAAACTCTCGCACGGTGCTGTAGCCGTGCGGGGCGATGTAGTCCTCGATGATGGCGCCTACTCGCGCGGGCGAAGGGCAGAGCGGTGGAGGAGGCGCCGCCCACCGCCGTCCAAAAGGCGCGGGCGGGCGGCGGACCGATGCCCTTGTACTCCTTTCCAGGAGCGCAGTACGCGATGGCGGCTTGCCAGGCGTCGTGCGTCACCTATGGGACATGTCCCGGACATGTCATGGCCATGTCGTGGACATCGCCGGGCGCCGGGCGTCACCTTGACCAGCTGCCTGCCCGCCTCGTCCACCTCGCCAACCTGCAGAGGAGGAGGAGGAGGCTCGTACGAGCAGGAGGGGTGTGGCCTGCGCCTCTCCCGTCGCACAGAGACACACAGATGTCGCGCGGCGAGCCTCGGCCGCACCTCGGCCGCACCTCGGCCGCACCTCGGCCGCACCTCGGCCGCACCTCGGCCGCACCTCGGCCGCACCTCGGCCGCACCTCGGCCGCACCCTCGGCCGCACCCTCGGCCGCACCTCTAAGGCCTCTCGGCTGCCTCTCGGCTGTGTCGCACCAGGAATGTCTCGGAGCAGTCCCCGTGGTAGCCTCCGTAGTAGCATGTGATGTCGATGTTGACGATGTCGCCTGGCGGTGCAGAGGCGGTGCAGAGGCGTTCCAGCGGCGGCGGGGCGGCTGAAGAGGAGCGGGAGAGAGGTGGCGTCGCGGTGTCGGGCGGGCCGCGCCGTCTCGCAGCTTCGACGAGTCCGGGATGCCGTGACAGATCACCTGCGTGTCCGCGCGCGGCCGTGAGCTGCGTGCGTGACGGGAGCCTGCAGGCGCCGGCCGCTGTAGCGGCTCACGCCCGCCTCGTTGACTGAGGTGCAGCAAGACTTTGGGAAGCCGTGGTAGTTGAGCGGGGAGGGGTAGGCGCCGCGCGAGACCGCCGCCTCGTGCACGAGGGCGTCGATCGCCTCCGTCGTCACGCCTGGTCGGGCGGGAGAGGGGAGTGGTGTGCTTGCGGTGCCGCGGAGAAGTGGCCGCTGCGGTGGCAGCTGTGGCGGCGGGCTGTGGCGGCTGCGGCGGCGGCCAGCTCGGCAGCGGCGGCGGAGCAGCGGCACGGGCAGGCGGCGCGTGCGAGGCGCACCCGGCGCCACCGCCGCGCCAGCGAGGTCGAGCACCTCTCGCGCGATCCTGCCCGCCGCTCGCATCCCCTCGATATCGGCCTCGCTCTTCTTCTGGATCTGCCACGGCAGCATCGGCCCGCGCGCCTTTGGCTGCCCGTCCTTCCAGTAGTCGGGCTTCGAGATCGACTTTGGCACCGACCGCTTCGGAGACTGCTTGCCCGGGCGCACCTTGCCGCTGTACTTGAAGGTGTCGCGCGCCGCCGCTCCAAAGCCGCCGCCCATGCAGAAAGGCCGCCCGCCACGGGCCGCCGGCCGCGCCGCCAGTGCACTGGCGAGTAGAACAGCGGGGCCGGGAGCGATGAGCTGCATAGGTTGACCGGCGCGGCAGCCGGCCGCGGAGCAGATCGAGCAGCCGCAAAAGAATTCGCACGCATTCGCGATGAAGCGCCGGTGTCCACGCATCCGAGCCTCCTGTTCTTGGAAGCGGTCAGTTAAAAGGGGGAGTTTGAACCTGTTTTTGTGTGCGTGTCGTGACTCGTGGTGTGCGTGTGGGAGCAGTTAGGTGTGTATATCTTATATGAGTCTCTATCCAACATTCGCCTCCCTACTAATACATATATATAAATAGTCTATAAGGAGACGAGAGGGCTCACGACGCGAGTGTAAGAGTTTACTGTAATTGGGACTCGAGTACACCCAGAAACACACAGACAGTCACACGTCGAGGGACGAGAGTGCACGGAGTCTTGTACATACGCGTAAATCACATCCAGATCAGGCCCTCCTGTCCTCAGAAGGGCGCGGTCTTCATCCTGGCGGGCGGGAGTGGGTGCGGCGCCGGTTGAGCCATCATCGCGAGCGGTACGAGCGCGGCCATCCGCCGCCAGCGCTCCTGCTCCGCCCGGATGGCGCGCTCCTCGTCGTTTGTCAGCTGGCGCACCACCACGGTGGGGCCCGTGCCGCCCTCCTCCACGGCACCGCCGGCGCCGGCGGCAGCCGCAGCGGCCTCGGCCGCGGCCTGCTCCTCGTACCACGCGTCCCACATGTCAAAGGTGTAGAGCATGCCCTCCTCCTCCTCCTCCTCCTCGAGTCTGCGGCGCGCCTCAGCCTCGGCAATCACCTGCTCCTCTTGCTCCGGGCTGAGCGCGGGCAGCAGCCGGAGCACGGCCTCGTGACGGTAGAGCCGCGCGTAGTGGTGCGGGAACTTGCCGTAGACGTCCTTGGCGAAAGGGTCGGCGCTGGCGCGCAGCAGCAGCGCCACCACCGCGATCGAGCCGTGGCGCGCCGCGAAGTGCATCGCGGTGAACCTGTCAGAGCCTCGGTACTCGAGGGCCTCGCTCCGCTCCTGCGGGCTCTTGTTGCTCTCGGCGAAGACCAGCCACTTGCGCACCTGTTCGGCCGAGTCGAGGCACGCGGCACGGCCGAGCCAGCGCCCCGTCGTGTTGAGCTTCCGCCACGCGAGCGCCTCCTCCTCCGACGGCGCGCAAGTGGGCGTCGCCAGCAGCAGCTCGACCACGGCGTTGTGCCCACCGCGGAAAGCCTCAGCGAGGGCGTCGCGGCCGCGCCGCACCCTCGCGCTCGCCTCGGCGGAGCCGCGCGCGCCCTTAGAGAGCAGGAAGGCCACCTCGGGCGCGTCGCCCTGGCTCGCCGCGTGCGCGAGCGCCGACCAGCCTCCGATGGGCTCGAGGGCATCGATGTCGATGCCGGGCAGCTCGAGCAGCCGCTGCACCGCCGTGCTGGCCGAGGTGAGGCCATGCCGGTAGGCGCGCGAGAGGGAGGCGTTATCGTTGGCCGCGCGTGCCGCCAGCCTCAGCCGCTCCGCCTGCACCGCCGCGCCGTCAGCGTACTCGGCCCAAGCGGGTGGCCAGCCTGTGCGGTCGTCGGCCGGCGGGTTACGCAGCACGTGCTCGAGCAACAGCCGCACCACCTGCTGGTTGTCCTCAGAGTGCCCCGCTTGCAACGCGATGCCCAGCGGCCCCGCCGAGCCGCCTCGCCAGCGGCCCTCGCGCGCGGCGCGATCGGCGTCGGGAGGCGGCGGCGATGCCGCATGCAGTGGAATGCGCACAGAGAACGGACGGCAAGAGAAGGCAAGGGAAGGAAGAGAAACGGCTGGTGAAGCTCAGTTCACGGCGTAGTATTGCGGTCACTAACCATCCACGGCAAGAGTCACGGGTGAATGCTGCCGCATAAAAGCAACAGAGTCGCGCTTGGCGCGATGGTCTTGTCGCGGTTCACGACTTGACGTTGCACACGGTCATAGGATCTATTTGGCGAGTCTCAAGCAGCAAAAGTAGGCGCGAGAAATTAATGTTGATCCTGAGATCTCAATTTTGGCGCTAGTTTCGTTTTCTGGTACATCACGACGACTTGCTTGGGTCTCATGTAGCTCGACGGCTCTTGGACCATGGACGGCTCTTTCTGGTTGGATCAGACAGGGCCTTCTTGGCCAGAGCTTGGCCAGCCTTGGCCAGAGCTTGGCCAGCCTTGGCCAGCCTTGGCCAGAGCTCGGCCAGCCTTGGCCAGAGAGTGGCCAGAGTGGCCAGCCTTGGCCAGAGCTTGGCCAGCCTTGGCCAGCCTTGGCCAGAGAGTGGCCAGCCCTGGCCAGAGCTTGGCCAGCCTTGGCCAGAGCTTGGCCAGCCTTGGCCAGCCTTGGCCAGAGAGTGGCCAGCCCTGGCCAGAGCTTGGCCAGCCTTGGCCAGAGCTTGGCCAGAGCTTGGCCAGCCTTGGCCAGAGCTTGGCCAGCCTTGGCCAGAGCTTGGCCAGCCTTGGCCAGAGCTTGGCCAGAGTTAGGGTTAGGGTTAGGGTTAGGGTTAGGGTTAGGGTTAGGGTTAGGGTTAGGGTTAGGGTTAGGGTTAGGGTTAGGGTTAGGGTTAGGGTTAGGGTTAGGGTTTAGGGTTAGGGTTAGGGTTAGGGTTAGGGTTAGGGTTAGGGTTAGGGTTAGGGTTAGGGTTAGGGTTAGGGTTAGGGTTAGGGTTAGGGTTAGGGTTAGGGTTTGGGTTAGGGTTAGGGTTAGGGTTTGGGTTAGGGTTAGGGTTAGGGTTAGGGTTAGGGTCAGGGTTAGGGTTAGGGTTAGGGTTAGGGTTAGGGTTAGGCTCAGGGTTAGGGTTAGGGTTAGGGTTAGGGTTAGGGTTAGGGTTAGGGTTAG